ATGTAATATGTTGATTTGTCAATTAGACTTTGTTAACTACAGATAAGTTTATGTTTGGCAAAAGGAAGGCTTTTACAACAACATAGTTGGTGTCTGTTTTAGAATTTGTCACTGTCCAGTTTAAATTCTTTCACAAAACATGATTCTGCCTACCTGAGGGTTGATTATTGTCAGCCATCAGTTCTACTTTGAGATATCAATCTGATTGATTTTTTCTGCTGAAATGTTTTATGTATATTGGCTTTAGTTGCAAAGAGACTCTTGCTTGTTGATTTGAACCACACTTACCCTTAACTCACAAGATCTCATTGTTATTTTCCCCCCTCTAGCTGCCATACATTTTCTTGTTAATTAGTTTCTGAGAATATGGTGGTAGATCAAGATTGTAACTTATGCCTATTGTAATAAGTCTGAGTATTCTCATCACCTGTTTGCTAGACAATGTATGGATATTGTAGGGAGGAGTTACATTTTAATCACTTAGGGGAGTTTAAAGGTTAAGAAACATAGATGAAGAAGAAGCGATTAAGCTGCTGTTATGCTTTAAAAGCTCTTTGCATTAGTTGCTGCTATTCATAGGTTTTAGTCAAGTCTCTTGTTTTACATTTTTAAGAGTGGTTCAGAAGTAAGTTATGTCAGATGTATCTTGCATGGTCCTCCTTCACCTAGATGGTGGGGTGTTTTTGTCGCTGGTCACGACAAATGCATGAAATTCAACAATTTTATTTTCTTTAACTGGTTCTTATTGGCCAAGATGTTAATTTTTTTTCCACTTGAGCATGTTTTGTTGTAAAGTTACATCCCTATGGCAGTATACCTATGGTTTGTGCAAAATAAAGTCAGTGTTATGAAGTAATGGCTGTTTTCTCAGGGGAGGGAAGAATGGCCTCTGAAAGTGGCTCCCTCAGAGGACATTATCTGAAAAAAAAGGGTGGTGGTCAGAGAAAGTTGATTTTACATTTTCCTCCCACACATTTCTCACCTGCCCACTTTAAAGATAAACAGACAAACAAAAACAACAAACAAACAGAAGTCAACGGACAAACAAGTGAATAATCGCATCATTTAACCGATTAGATCCTTACATCAATATGCTTAAACTCCATACTTTTCTCCCTACGTTTTCTAAGGAGAAGACGAGGAGAATTTGTTCAACAATCAAGAGCTTCTTTAGCTGGTGATAATTTTCCTTATTCTCGTGACTTAAATGTGTGACTCAGGGGTGATTTTGTAAGGAGAAATTAGAAGCTAGTCACCCATCAGGATTACAGTTTTCAGAGGAAAGAGAATCCTAAGGGTAGCCGTTTCAAGTCCGCCAGATTGGAATTGTCTCGCCCAGTAGGAAACTAAGAACATCGTTTTTGCCTCATGGTATGACGTAAGTTATGCTATGAGGTTTAGGGTTTAATTTGGGGGCGAAATTCAATTGAACACGAAGGCGCGCCATATAAAGAAGTCTT